GGGAGTCCCTAAGCAGGAAACGATGAACCTCTACCACAGTTCAAAATCACAATCTCATCAATAACTTAGCGGTGAACAATAAATTGCTTATCCTACCCTAGTAAACTGACTTCTAAAATGTTCCAGATAGATAGCACTCCATAAACCTCTGAAAATGTAAAGAACCAGGATTTCAAAAAGTGTCCTTTAAGGTGTCCAGAGAGGGCAATGATGCACAAAATTACATGTACAAAACACCGAGAGTCTTTTCCAAAATGTGATTGAAGCACCTATTTATGACAAGGACATCTGAATGGCGTGATTTGCTCTGGGAATAGGAGTTCAGACAGCACCTGCCAGGTTTTATGCTCAAGACTGCAGATAACCTGTTAATTCTGTAGCGAACTTAGAAAAACATTTTTGCACTCATATTGAGGCTATGACGAGTGACTTTTTATCCCCTCCTATTTAGGCTTTCAGCACACCCTCATGGATCTTTTGCCCATATACTCAATAGGAAAATCTTAATCCTTTCAAAAGAGCAAGGATTTCTTATGTCTCCAAGCCACAGAATACACACACATACACACATACATGATCTCTCTCAGTGTTAATCATGTATAAACCAGTTCTTGATATTTTTCAGGATTTCCTGTGCAGTGAGATAATCTTTTTCCTTAATTAAGCTACTCAATTCACAACCAACATATGTGGCTTTCTAGCACTTGAGCATTCCCTACAGATAGGTCCCCAGGCTGTTGAATAGTGGTACATCTGTGCTTGCAAACAGTAAGAAAAGATAATGCTAAAACCCATCCATGGAGTCAATCACGAAAATTATCGCAAGACGTCATTCTGACGCTTACACCACTGGCTTTCCAGGCTTAAATTAACACCTTGTAATCTCTAAGAAGTCCATTTCACTTTCTGTTTAAAATATAAAACGTTTATATATCCCAATTATTCACAGTTCAAAGAAAATCCTCAGCTAACATAATTTTGTAGTAATTTATTGGCATTTTCCAACAAGTGAAACAGTTCCAGTGGGGGATAACTTTATTATGTAAGCTACACATTTCTGTTAAGGCCCTACGGTTGCCAGAAGGAGTGAGCTCAGGTGTTGTAGCTCTTGCTGCCAGCATGTGCTTTTCTATCCATATTCTGGCCACAGTTAGTCTTCAGTTGCCTTGGCAATCCCATGGCATTTTAAATACCTGCCAGTTCAGTCCCTTTGCACCGGGGCTGTTCAATGCAGTACTGATAGAATGGAACACCCTAAAGAGGATGAGTTGAATTCTTCCTTGCCCTACAAATCATTAAAGCTTTACAGTTTTATTATTTGGAGTGAGAAAATTGTTTTAGACTGTTACTATTAGTGTTTTTTTAAAAACACAAAATAATGCCCCCACTCCAATTGCTGCAAGTTGTTTTTTTTTCTTTGCATTTTCTGTGTGCAAACAGCTCTGATCCTGCTTTTTCCTGTGATGGCTTTTCAACATTGTAGCTGCTGATGTTGCTCTGAACTGCAAGAAAATAAGGAGTATAAGGCCACCATATTATGGCACTCTGAGCCTCCCTCCTCCCATTTCCTGTAGGGAAGCCTCTTTGAAATGACAAACAGAAGAGAACTTTGTTTAAAGCAGACAGATTCCCCATGACTCACTGGTTTATAATTTTTAAGACATATTTAGTGATTCTGCATTTCAGTCTTCTACAGCTTGGCCCTGCTATCACAGTGCTATTCCCTTTGCTAGATGCATAGACGCCAAGAGCTAAAAACCGGCAGAATATGACACGAAGAGGTATTGAATTTTTTTGCACAACGTGTAAAGCTTAGCCTACTGAGCCAATACAGTATTGATCAGAGCAGAACTGGATGAAGTAGAGCTTCTTATTCTTCTTACATAAACAGCTAACACCAAATTCTTCTTTTTTTCCTTTCAAGTCTTGAAAACTTTTGAATGACAATAAATTATCAAATGTTTCAGGTGTCACCACATCATATAAATGCTGTGTAGGGACCAAAAGCTCTTTACAGCCTCTACATGTAGACCATCATGTCACTTTGTCAGCATCTCCTAGGAAAGGCCTACTCCAAATAGGAGTTACTTGGAAATGTCCTCACTCAAGGACACTTCTACATCACCTGCAGAACAGAGGCATCTCGGTGAGCCAGCTACTTCATTTCACTGCCCACGTTGTAGCTATTTCCAGGACCTTGGCTTTCCTTTCCACTGGCATAGTATGATATAGTGGAAAACTGAGTAGCTTCCAGTTAAAAGATGGATGGGCAACTAAGAAACCTGTTTTTCAAGCTTTTCCCAACATGCAGAGTCTAATTCTAGAATGTGAATAAACACTTGGTTATTCTTAATGTGTATATTTGAAGGGTTACAGGATCTGAGTGTGGAACATATAGAATATGGCTGGTGGTTTAAGACTAAACTGAAACCCTGCCCTTACTAATTCTTCTTTTCTTTTCTACTGTTTGCCCTTCTGGACAAAGAGCATCAGTATCAGGAAACTCTGATACTTATTGAAATACACATTTGCCCATTCAGTTGAAATATTAGCTTTTTGAATTCAGTTAAAAAAAACCTCACCAAAACACAAGCAAGGAAAAATGGTATATGAGACTTCTAAAATATTAAAAGAAATGCTGTTAAATAGCCGTTTTACTGAATTTTAAAGCTGGTCTTATAAAAGCATGCTGGTGTGCTGTGGACAGTATTTTCACAGCAGTATGATTGTTATTGACAAAACATTTGCACACAATTTAGGATCCTAAAGAGAAAATAACTGAAAAATGAATCCCATCCTCACAGTCCAGTAGTCACCTACACCAAGCTTGTATATACTCTTATATCTCAGCAGCTTCTCACAAGACTGTAGAAAGCAACTGCAACAGAGGAGAAATGCAGCCAGATTAATAGCAATCTTCATTTGCACTGATGTTAATGACTGAAGTAAAGCATTCTGGTTTGCTCTGTAATTCAGTGGAAGCTCGCGTGGTATTGACTGAAGCAGCAATGCTTAGCCTGTGGTTCTCAAACCATATGTAAACTTCTCTAAATTACTTTTGAGCCCCTAGTAGACAGTCTACAGAGCTTCAAAGAGCTGCATGATGAATATGTGCAGTTCATCACTTAAGCTAGTCCTGGTTCAGAGTGGGCTATTTTTCTTCAAAGTCATCAATGGACTGTTCTCAGTCGAGGCTGGCTGAGGTATATCTGTGCCTTGGGAAAAGATTTTTTTTTGTGTCTCGTTTATTCACGTAAAATCACATATTTCTATTCTGTGATCTACTCACTCCCCTGCTCCAACTCCACCTGTTATCTCCTTCAAACCATGGTCCCTTTTCTGCATAATATTTGCGGCATGCACCTGTAGCTCTCAAACATTCTCCAACAGGGGTTGTTTCACTTACTGCTTCAGTTTAAAGAAGAGACCAAAGGGTGCCCTTGGCATGCAGTTATGCAGAAATGAAATGGCAGGTTTTAAATGCCTACCATTCCCCTCCTGAGCCAGCAAAACACTTACACCAGTGTTTAACCACTGTAAGTATCCTCGGTGAATTCCTTTTGAAGTCAATCTAACTGCTCACATGCTTCAAAGATAAGCACATGTTTTGCAGAATCAAGACGCAAGTACTCAGTGCTTGCCAGATTCAATCCACCACAAGGACAACCAAGTAGGCTGAGGGCTCCATGACGGTGACAGAGCATTTCAGGATTAACGTCTCTGTGAATGACTGCTACAGTTGCTGGCAAATTGTCGAACAGAAAATTGTTTTCCATCAGAAAAATGGAATGTAAATGGAAGCATATTGATTTTGACATATTCTTTTAAACATCATTGTGAAAAATTTGTTTAAGAGAACTTTTCTCTTTTTTTTTGCTTCTTTTTGTGGGAGGAAGAAAAAAAATCACAACTGCAGAGAACAGAGAATTCATTTCCTGCGGATCTCCAGTAGCTGTAGCTGATCAAACACTAACGTGAAAACATTTTCCACTTATGGTGGGTTTCATCTTCTCTAACTCAGGTATCTAAAGTTTATGTCTGAGTTAGCAATCCATAGCTGCCAGTACAGTCCATGAGATAAGCAGCTCCAGAGCTCCATTAACTGCCCTAAAGTAGATGTCAGAGACAAATCAGAGTGGGGTCCTTTTCTGCTGAGGATGGTGGAACTGACAGTGCCTGGCTCAAACACAGATGTCTGGTTTCCAGCGTTGGGTGAGAGCAGCCTGTGCAGGGGGGCTGTCCATCTAATTCTGCCCTGGTGGCAGCCACAGCTATTTTCCATCAAACTGTTCTCTGTGTCCTGTTAAAAACTGTCATCATCCTGGCAAACAACAGCTGTGTTGCTGTGGAGCAGGGGGGTTGAACTGAAAGGTGTAATTTTTCCCAAACATTTAAAAAATCCTTCTACCTCATGCTTGTATCAGTGTAGTGCAATAGGGACTTTAACCTTTAACGCAACTGGGCATGTGAGCAGCAATACAGTACAGCAAAGCCAAATAGCTTCCTTTTTTATGGCTGTGTCTGTATCACTAAATAGACCAGGTTAGGGAGCACCCTCTGGACCCACAGCCAGTGGCCAAGACTGTTCCTGAGACTGGCATAACAGTGTGACACAGCTTGCTCCCACAGGGCTCTTCCCTCTGAAGAAGGATGGCTGCGTCCAACGTGCCCGTTGGGAATGACCCCCAGCTTTTGCTGTCCTCCAGACCGTGCTTAGGAATTGCTTGGAAAAGTGTAAACTGACATGGGCTAAAATTGTGCAAGGGAGTATGACAGCAATTTAGAAGTACACACAACCCTGCCTTGGCCCCGTTTTAGTTAATGGTGTACATGTAGCTTCAGAATATTTTTTCACGGTCTAAATGGAAACAGACAAATGGCTGAAAGACTCATCCTGGGTAAGCCTCCCTTCATCAAAGGCAACCATACTGTCTAATATTTTTCAGAAATTTACTACTCCCATGTGGATGCAAATTAGATTTATTTTGCCTTCCTTTCTCCTTTCTTCCTTTCTCCTTTCTTCCTTTCTCCCCCCCCTAAGATTATCTGGATGTTCTCTTTTTGATATCTATAAACTTTGAATTTCTATCTTCATTTTATGGCCAGGTCATACCAGTGGCTTCCTGTGTCAGCTTTGCTCTTTGGTTGAAATAATTCTTTTCCCTCCCAGGGATTCATCCTGTGATGCATTTATCGAGAAGCAATCACGTCCTCTCTGCCTTTGTTGTGTGAAGTTAAACGAGAAGGACTGAGTGTTGGCTAAGGATCACCCGCCAGTGAAACGGTGCAGCAAACATTTCCCTGCCACTGCCGCAACCCCCAATAGTTTGTATCTGAGGAAACATTTCTTTCTTTCTAGTCTACAAATTCAGTTGAATATTTACAAACATGTAAACACCCTTAGTGGATGTCAGGATCATTTTGGGTTTAGGCAGTTTGTGAGGGAATTGGAAGTCTGATAATGCCTGTTGATAATTGCTCTTCAGTATGGCTCAGTCACTTTCTTGAACCAGGAAATTACCGCTTTGAAACCCTTTGATGCTAACAATAACACATTTATTTTTGCTAATATTACACATAAATTGATTGATTGGATGATCTTTTCACATGTCAGTTGAAATGCAAGTTCTACAGGAATTCAGCTTGGGAAAATTTGGCCTATATACAAATAAACCTATTATTAAATGTTCCAGACATCATTGTTGTAGTGTTACAATACTGTTTTCCTAACTGAGGCATAAATAGTCTAAATAGTCTTTCAGCTATTGTTATGGCTCTTTCTTAACTATTTATTGGAGTGGATTGAAGAGCCATGATAAACCCATTAAGCATAAAACAAAAAGGAAAAACAAATATACGTTAAAAAGCACATACCTATTTATTGCAGCATCCATAAAAACTTTAATTAAAATTATATTGGGGATTTATCCAGGAAAATGGGCAAGTTTAAATGTGTTATTAAAATATGTTCCTTAAGTTATATGTTTTCATTTAAATGAAATATTAATGTAGGATTAGCAGTTTGTAGAAACTGCCACTGCTGTTCATAAAAGCAAAGAAAATATCTATTAATATGGGTTATCACACCAGTGGAAAACTGAAATAGCTGTAATTAGTGCCCAACACAAACAACATAAATCCTCAGTCATTGGATTTTGCTACAAGTTACAAAATTAAGACAGCTTCAAGATGCTTCTCTTTATCAGCTTATGCCATACACAGAAACAGTGAAAAGGGCATCACAGTCAGTTTTACATAGCTGTTTGCACAATTCATACAGGCATTTGGGCACCCTAAAGGTTAGGCATTTGGCTTGAATAGTCCCTGGAGTCCTTAGAGAACTGGTGTATGGCTGCCCTACCTAGAGGGGACTTGGACCTTGTGGACCCACTGCCGTATATGAAAAAAATAGAGAAATCACGCAGCAATTTTGTACATCAGTCTCGGTGTGAAACAGGGGTATGAGATTGGGTGGAGGGTGAAATGAGGGCTCACTGGCTCTATGGGCTTAGCCAACATCTAGCTATGCACTTAGTGAATTAGCAGAAGGTCAAGCGTGGTCAACATCTAAGTGGAAAATTACTGAGATGGCAGAGAAGTAAGTTCCAGAAAGGTGCCCAACACACCCACCCTGACACACGTGCCCAGCTAATCAGAGATTATAAATTAACACATTTAGAAAAAACTTTCGGATTTGCTTTTACTGCTGGAAGAGAGAGCACTATAAGGGAGGAACCCTGCAGTGCCCAATCACCGAAGCCACCTGAACGAATGACTCAACTGTTAACTGACCTGGGTAATCATTTAGTCACTATGATTTCAATTGTATGGACACCACGTTTTCTCTGGCAAAGAAATTCTCTGCTTTGACAGCTGGTCTGTAACCTGGTTCCCCCTCAAGCTGGAGGGTTAGTACCTGAAGTCCAGTTTGTGCAAGGTGTTGGAAATTTTTGGACAATACTCATGTGCTAGCTGTGAAAGTTTGGGGACGCATTATAAGGCTTCATATTTAATTTATTTTAGCATAGGAGTCCATCACATATTCCCTCTAAAAATAGACGTTTTCCCCAAGCCAACTGTTCAAAATTAAACATGTTTCATAAAATAAAAAAAATCTTTCACACTGTGATACGCTCTACTGAATGAATTTACAGAACATTTTCCCCATTTCTCTTTAATTCAACTTGTTTCACATAAATCAAGCAAGGATCTCTCTACTGTGACATTTAAAAAAATGAGAATATGCCTTCTGCAGCCCACTTTGGAGTAATGGTTATGTATATCACAGTCCATTTTTCTCTTACCATCAGGGAATCCATCCCAGATTTCCAATCGGTCATAGCGACAGAACGCTCCCCCTGGAGTATTTGAATCAGGTTCCAGCTCAAAGCTTTCAAATTCCAGTATAATCTCTGACATCTTTGGTGCAAAGATAATATAAGTGCATTCAAGGCTATTGGGATATTTTTCAGGGAATCCAGGGGACTTTATCACTCCACTTGACGAAGTGAAGTTTCTGGAACATTCAGGCCCTGTAAAAGAAAGATAAAAATCACCTGGGTTAACACTATGCTACTAAGCAAAGTAGTTAGCTGGAAAACAAATTAGGTTGTATTGTCTCTCCAGCAGCAAAGGTGGCTTTTCAATGAAACACCTCATTTTAATCGCTGTATTAATCATTCAGCCAGCTTGTTCCTATTATTGATAGTCAGGTTTTAAAGCACAATTCACATATACTGTCTGATCTCCAATTTTCAATTTGTATGGAACAATATGAAAACTTGTACCAGCTCTAGAAAAAATTATGACAAATACAAAGTCATGTGGGAACAATGAAAGTGTAAGCTGCAGAAATCTCGACAGGGCCCTAGAGAAATAATTATAGCCCCTTCAAGCTCAAATCTTTAAATCTTACGGCTGACAGGCTTTTATTGGTGAAATAGAATTTTTTACGAAAGTGGGTTAGTGAATTCAGTAGAGGGAGTAGTGGTTTCAGATTCCTGGAGCACTGACGCAGTAACTCTGCCAGATGTGACCTATGCCTCCTTGACAAACTAAATGTGAAAGGTAATTCGTATATGTACCAAGGGTGAGTGACTCATTCTGAGTGGTGTTGACACAGGTGCACCAGTAAAATGTTGCTGTTAGTGCAGGCATGATAAACTGTGTGATTACAGGCAGTGTTGCTAGAAGTCACCTAATGTCAATGTTGACACACCAGCTTTCCCCGATGTCCCCACCATGGCATAATGGGATGCTCCAAACGCTGCTCTTGGCGGAACAGGAAAGTGGCAGTAAAGATGCAGGGGCATAAAAGGCCAGATCACTGGATGTGCCTTTGTGAGTACAGGGGACTAAACCTGGAGTCCCTCTCTTGTTGATAGATTGCATTTCTCCTTTATTTAGGTCTCTCAGGAATCCTCTCCGTGGATCCTGCATCTGCAGGTGTGCTCAGAGCCAGCCTCAGGCACTGCCCGCACATTCTCCCACAGGGTCACCATAGGTACCCCTCTCTCTCTGACTTTTGACACTCCCAATTTAATGGAAAGTGATTTACAGGATTTGGGGTGTTGGTGGACAGCAGCTGACCTGGGGAGTTTGGGTAGAATGACCCAGACGAAGGTCTTTGGACATGGAGCATAGGCAGGACTCAGGCGACAGTTTGGTTGCAACAGGTTGTGCTGCAGGGCGAGTGTGTGTGAGGTTTCGGTTTGGATGAGGATGCCCAGCATCCTTAGAGACTGTAGGCAGGAGCCTCTGAGGATTTCCAGTGCTCAACACAGATAGTTGAAGGAAAACAGTCTGGCTTGCTGCATATATGAATACTCTTATTTCACCATAGAAAATGTTTTCCTTGTGAATGTGCCAAACATATTACCCCCCACAGATTTGGCCACCTCCCAGCTAAATTCAGCATGAAAAAGAGAGGTCTGAATGAATTTTGTCAGTTCAGGTATTTTTGTCCTTCAACAGACACTGATAGGAAATACTTGAGCTATCGCATCAATATTCAGAGCACTTCATGGCATATTTTGGAAGATATAGATATTAATGCTCAAGTAAACTGACCCATTCCAATTTGGGAAATTACATTTTGCCTATAATTAAATAGCCCCCTTACACATTAGTCGGATATTTCTCTTCTCTCCCTGTCATTCCCTTGTCTCCTTGTCATGTATGGGAGGGTTATATTCTGGTTGTTGCTCCTCACTCCCACCAGTAGCTGCTGTTCCAGGATAAAATAGCTTTGCTATGCCATTCATAGCATGAAGTGCTCTGTACTCCTCTTGGAATCCAATAAAAGATGCAATATAAAATGTAAGCCAGAATCATTATTGCTTTATTAAATACAGCCAGATCCTGGCTCTGTGAGTGCACAATCGTCAGGCTCCTTACACTCACACATGGTATCTCAATACCAGCTTGTTTTATTTTAAACATGTTCAAGTCAATCTGGTGCAAGAAACAAAAACTGTTTTCAGAAGAACTGCCTCACTGAAATGCCCTCCACAGATTTTGACCCTTTACTGACACTGTGAAGGAACTCCAGAAATTAAACCAGCACAGGCTATGAGGTACTTAGTGGAGTGATGTTCATGGAAAACCGGCAGAAAAGGTTCTAGCAGAGACTGGACAGAACAGACACTTCTGAGGTGGAGAAACTACACGTGTGCATGTGTGTGATGTAAAGGGAGATAAGCTGAAGGAAAGAAAGAGAGGAGGCAAAAGAGAGAGCAAAGGAAGAGAAAGAGATGATACTGGAGATAACTTCATTTGCTTTCTGTAGGTGTCACTGAGCCAGAAAATCATTTGCCTTCCTGTTTGACAGTGTCTTTTCTTCCAGTTTACACCACAAATTTAGTCAACTAAAGTTAGGAATGTTGAACATGAACCGTGTAGGTCCTCTTCTAGTGAATAGGCTACTCATCCATCCTAAGATGGGCTGGCTGACGGAGCAATATGGGTTTCATGTTTTAGTCTGGAATTCAACTTCTTTGGTGACTTTCTGGCTAAGGAGCTGGAAGAAAAGTAAAAGCAGGTTCCACTCCCAAAGCCCATACTACATTTATCACAGCCATTACGTGTGCTGGTCTCTCCTCACAATTTCCATGGCGTGTGACATTTTAAGCATCAGGTTTAGAATTCAGCTTAGGACACAGGTAGTGTAATGCAGTTTTTCTTTTTGAAAACTAAGGATGCTCTCAAAGGAACGATGGGCAAAAATATACTGTGTGCTGGAACGCAGCTCAGCACCACAGGGCCTTGGGCTTGGGATCATTTTAATACTTCTCATACCTGGGAAATCATGAGCTAAGTTGTGAATATGCTAAAATGAAGCATATTAGTGTGGTGTGAGCAACTGAGCTTCACCTGCATAACAGGGTAAACTGGTCAGCTTTATTTGATACAGAAACTAAAATGTAAATCTAGAAAGGCATATATGCACTAACTCAAAAGTTAAAAAGGGCTGTGTTCCCACAGCAACTATAACTTGCATCCTTTGTGTACACACAGCATTTCTAACACTGTACCTGGTGATAACTTTCCTGCCTTAATATACAGTTTATGTGGAATGAACTCGAGTTAAAGTTGCCCTGGGAGCCATAATTTTGAGTTTCCTGACTTCTGTGTGTATAAAATCACATTCATAATGCCATCTTAACATGGTTAATGTGTATCACTGAGAGATGTAAATGACCACACAAGGAAATAAACACAACGTTCCTGGCAGAGCTCGGAGTTACCACTGCACGATTAGGAAATAAATAAAAGCTTCTTTTTTCTTGAAAATGCTCGGTTGGTAAAATAGGTTGTTTCACAGGTCATTCTTTCACTTGTTCTTGTGTTTCAGCCTTATTCTTTATGAAAGATGGTACTGTATATATAAGCACTGAGAAACTTCAGGACACAGTTTCAAGAGTTTAGCCTCCTAAAGACACCAAAATAAATAGAGATATTTTTTCAGGAAAGCTTGGTGTCATTTGGATGCTGAGTTCTTTCAAAAAATGTGACCCTGAAGGTCACCAAAAGAATTTCTGGGAGCCAAGAGTGGATTTACAGACAGGGAAGATGGCGAACAAGAGGTCTGTGGCCCCAATTAGCACTGTGCCGAGCAGCAATAGCATGCAATAGAAAAGAGACTTCACTACTGTGCTTCTCCTCATTAACAGTACAGCTGCCACCATGCGCGTGTGCTGAACCCAGCTGAAAATCTGGCTCTGGTTTAGGTGCGTAAAAGGGACTTGAACTGGTTCTGAAAATGGGGCACTATCTGGGAGTGGTGTGTATCAGAAATTCGGAGTTTTGAGCTGCTTTTTTTGAATATGACTCTAAACATTGCTGTTGAAGTCAGTATTTTTTTCTGTAAAGTTAAGCTTGTCGTCTTTCTGTATATTAGGAGTTTTCCAGGCATGGAATATATGAATAATTTATCTCCATCCAGCTCTAGGGAAGGTGTATGCAAAAAAAAGAAATCGTACTCCCCTTCTAGCTGTTAACTCAGAAGGAGAGTTCTCAAAGAGGAACTGTCTATAGGTCTGGCTAATCCTGGAATGTTTGTTTCTCTGGGCTTTCTCTATGCCCCATGCAGCTATCTGTGCTCACCGGCACTGAACCCCTGGCACAAGCATCCAGCAGGTCATGCCTGTGAACAGTGTGAGCTTCTCCTCTCCTTTGCCTTCCAAACACAATTTGTGAAAACAACAGCAACATCATCTGCTGCCCATGTGTACGCTGGTCCTTTCTGAGTCCACAGCCGTCTCACGGGAATGCAGAGCAAAACACTAACCAAAATAAGTCACGGACTCAGAAGGTTACAGTGCTGTTAAGGCAGTAACATTGTAAATCATGCAGGAATTAATATCACCAAAAAAAAAAAAAAGAAGAAAAAAAGAAAAAAAAAGGAAGAAAGCTAATGGTTTTAAGAAGGTCAAAGTGAACAGCTGATGAAGACTATCACATTACACACAGAGGAGTCAATCCTCAGATACAGCTGACCCATTGGATTCATAATGATCTACAGCCGTTGAATACAGGCTCCACCTTGGGATGACAAGGGTAATACAATGTTCTCTTTCAAGCATTTTCATGTATTCTGCACATCCCAAGGAGTTACGGTGAACTTTTTGATGAAAGCAAAAATTACAGGTTATGAGCTATATATGACAATGAATTGTTTCTCACCTCTTTTGAAAACTTCGTAACGGATAGAAAATCCTGCTCCATGTGTCTCATAGTCGGAAACAAATTTAATAAAAAGATATGGTCCCGAAGACACTAAAGGAGGGGGAGCGATTTTTCCACAGTACTTTCCCCATAAGCGTCCTTCAGCATTATCTCCATCAATCACTTCAACATAATCATACCTGGTAGATAAATGGAAGGAAGAAACTTTTAACTTCCAGGAAAGAAGGAGACCTAATTAATTTAGAAACCATAACACAACATAGATAATCAAGAAAAATGCTAGCTTGCTTGGAAAATGCATTATGCTGAAAGATGTAAGCAAAATGAAATAATTAAAATGGACTACATTATGTCTGTAGACATCATCTGGCAACATGGAACTATTAGGAAGAATGGTGTCCATTATGCTTGCAGACAATGTCAGCTAAAGTAACCAATTAACAAAAAAAAAGGAAATCTCATGCGCACAATTCTGTATTATTAAATTGTGTTCCTTTGTCTGTGTAGTGTTGTTATCAATACATAATGCATAGCATTCTTTTCAAACTGTGAAGTTCTGTTATGAATTCAAAAATGTCTTTTTGGCTGGAGCTCTTTATGAACAATACTTTGATTTCCATATGCTGTCCTCCAAACATATGTCCACAGAATAATAAATAAATCCCTAAACATTAGATTGTGTTCAAAACTCCACCATGTTTCAGATCAGTGGTAGAAAAATCTGTTATTTTCCTTGTTAGCTGGACAAATAGTTTGAAGCAAACCACAAAATCCACACGTCAGTCATGGCACTTGGTTTTTCTTAGACAAAACCTGTTTCATTACAAATCATCTTTGCTAGGTATTTGAATCAAGAGGTGCATGGTATAATATTCATATTGTACAGCATGTGATTACTGAACAGACTGGGCTAAGCCCTCCCCTGGTTACTTGCTTGATTCCTAAGGACTTGATCAGAGAAGGTGCCTGATGCACAGTAATGATTGGTGGCAAAAGTTTGCCTGGGAGCAACAGGCACGCCGGGGTTCCTCAGCCCTGTCACCAGAGATGCCAGTATGCAGGGCTTGGTCTGACAGGTTTGGCTTCAGGGGGCTGAGGAGAGCCCAGCAGCTTGGTGCACTGAGCCAGCAGGGAGAATACAAATGAGAATTAAAGTCACGGAGAGGCAGGAGCTGCAGGTGCAGAGATGGGTCTGGTTTTAAGTTTTATTAGCAAATGATTTCATTCGACCACGGACGAGAAGGAGGAGCAGACACAATTTGTAGAATCAGTTTAATCTTTTCCTAAAAGTTGGTGGCATTCGGAGCCTGGGTTGTGCTCTGGGCCTCTTTCGGGCCGCGGCAAAAGGCTTTTCTCTGCCCCTGCGCCTTTGTGTCTCTGCTGCACTGCCGTTTTATTTAACAAGTTGCTGTTAGCCAGACAATCTCATTTACTTTTCATTATCCTACTACGACTGACATTAAAATGTTGCCATTAATTTGTTTAGACCTTTATTCTACTGCTATGTTCACTGAAATGTTCCGAGCGTATTAATATACAAGGAAGAGCTAAAAATGACAGGAAAATAAAGTGTCTCTGACATTTTTACGAAGATCAAAGGGAAAAAATGTCTTAATGATGACCAATGTCATTTTTAACAACTCTGCTCCAAACTGTCCAGGGCACATTACTTATGTTTACATGAAGCCCCATGAGACAACTGCAAAGATGATATCACTAGTTAAAGTGGACGGCTTAAGGCTCCTTAAATTGAAAATGACATTACCTCATCAGTTAAAATTGTGTGCCAGCTTTGGTGTATATCAAGTAGAAAATAAAGCTGACACTGATGGAACTGTAAGCATTAACATATGTGAAATATTGTGTTAACTGCATTTCCTCTTATGTATTTGATTTTTCTAGTAGCAATTGCTCAGCTCGTTAGCTTCACTGTCCCATTTCAGATTGGTGGAAATACAAAGCAGAAATGTTCATTTCTGAGATAATTTTACAGATACTTCAAGTAGCCTGGATTTTTTTTAAATTAGACTTCTGTTCTTTCTAGAATTTCTTGATGATATATGTATAACAGGATTTGAAAGTTAGGAGGAGAGTTGTAAAAATACCTCAGAATTGGTTTTGTTTGTTTGTTTTTTTCCCTTTAGAAATATCCTTAAGAATACCAGCTCTAGGTTCCCTACAAAAGCTATTGGAAGTACTCAGGAATGCAGGCTGCTAGTTTTTATACTTTAGGGAAAAAATGAATGTTAAGAATTTTTAACTAGACAACCTTTCCCTGAATAATTAACTGCTCGTTAAAGAGAAAGAGTAACCACATAAAACCCCAGCATCTGAGTCACATTCTTTGCTCTTCTCTCCATGATGACATTATTTCACCAGTTTTGCAGGCATGATCCATTGCTCAAGCCTCAACAGTAGATAATTTTTCAAATGAACATCAAGAACCCTTTTCCTGAATTATTAAATGATATGAAAAATTTTAACTAAAAATGCTAAACAATTTTTACATGCTGTTTTACTTCATGTATAAAGAAGAAAAAAAAAAAAACCAACCCAAAGGTTTGCATTCAGTATTTTTATCCTACTACACCTTGAAAATAAACAATCCTCTATAATCTTACTAAGTCTTTCACATACAGCCTCCCAAAAATTATTAACCTGTGAGTACCAATTGTGCTATTATATGAAGTAAATTTGGCAGAAAATATTCAAATTAAATTCTATCACTCTCCTAGGTTTCCTCCTTTATAGCGATAGCCTGCCCACACCTTTCCATTGTCCCTTATAGTGACAGAATTGTAATTTATGGTGCTCTTTCTGGCTGCTCTGCAATTGTAAATGACACAATTTGGTTACTAAAAGGTTGTCTTCTAATGGATTTTGCAAGTTATAGGTCACGCAGCCCTGTAGAGGACTGAAGGATTTTTCAGGTTTTTTCTTTTGCTTTGAAAAATTACTGACAGAGAGAAAAGAAGTTTAGCTGTAAGACAACAGGTATGAAGCACAGTTTGAAAAGGGGAAACTTTAGAGATCAGCCCTACAACCTTCTTATTCTAAGGAACATGTCTTTCACTTGGCAGCTAACAAATGGATTCAGGTTCTCCACACTGGTGGCAGCATGATATCTGGGCTGCTCTAAGTGAGGATCTATATTATTTTTTTTTTTAGGGAAATGAAATTACTCTGGCTTTTACTAGTTTATACTCGGAAACCAATGTCCTGCTGTCACTTTTGTACTTTTCAAAATCCTACCAGAGACCATAGTGTATCGCAAACAACTGTTCTTGTAAATAGGAGAAAGTACAGTCACAACTTGAAGATGGAGTTGCTGCCAAGGAAGCTCAGAAAGCAGCTTGCATCTCCCTCTGGACTTCGTAGCAGCTCTTCTCCGTAAGTTTGTCAGGAGAAGATGCTGTGCCAGGGATGCAGTTGGCACATTGGCAACCCTGTGAGGAGACTGAATGTGTCACCTCTGCAGCGCCCAGACAGTCTTGGCGCGCAGCCCAGAATACTGAGTTTGCAAATTTGGGTTTCCCACTTGGCAATTCTTCGCTCAGTTACTGCTGCCAATGGTGTGGCAAATATTTCTTGTAATGTTATAGTCCTTTAGGGTTTATGGCACAGAGACATAAATATAAACACGGTGCTAACCATTGAGTGTAGTTTCAGGTGAAAGACTAGAGCAAGAGTTCATGTGTGAAAATAAAGAGATGGCTGCCCAGAAGACGGGGTAATCAGCAGATATGTTCATGGAGCCTCTATGCTACAATGCAAAAAGCATTCCCTTTTTGCTTGTCTGGGTCTTTCTGGACATCCCAGTTTCGTTTGCTTTCTGTTTGCACCCTCTCTGGTGGGCAAGGACTGTGCGTGGCGCTTGGGTAGGAGCCTGCAGAAATGCATTGCAGAGCTTGCACGCTCCCCCGCTCCTCCCAACATGCCATTACTAGATGGTCCTAATTTTATGGTTCAGTAAAACAATGTCTGGGACAGATTCCCATTGGAAAGGTGAGGGGGGGAAAGATGAGGGGATCTAGAATTCCTCTACAAATTCTTAAAGGAATTGCAAAAAACTTGCTCTTTTTTTGGAAAGTGTAAGTTATGGGTTTGAGGAAAAGGCCAAGCAACAGCTATAAAATGAGCACTGGGCAATGAAAAACATAAACAGCTGCAGAATACAGATTTTGGTGAATTTTCTATTTCCAGTTCCTACTAGGTGATAACAGTGCGCACGTCTGGTTTGAGTTCTGAACATGCTGGCGACCCCTGAAGTGCACCATCGCACCTTGTACTGCAGCAAGTGAAGTGAAAGTGCTGGAAAGCCCTGCCTGCTGCTGAAGCCAGCCACTCTGCCAAGCCTCGCTCCGCTTCTACACATTTTCCTATTATTAGGGCAGTGAGATCTTACACCTTTTGCCTAAAAAAAATTCCTTCCCAAGACATATGTAGAGCTCAGCTGAGATCTAAATATCTGCCATTTTACCTTATGAAACAAGCAGTGAAGCATCTACAACTATAATTTACATGTGAATATACCATATTTTTCTGCAGGGTACGACATGCATCTATAGGGTGGTTATGAGTATTTTGGTTATCCGGCTGTTAGAATGAAAAGATTTGCCACCTCTCTGTTTCTTTTATCATGCTGATTCCACTTCCACCAGTGACTAAATCTCTCCCTGACATGAATTACCTACCCTGGTCAGACTGTCTTTGGTTCCAAGAATTTGCTTCTTAGTACGTATCTTTCTTCTGCCTTTATTATTATTTTTTTTTTTTTAATTCCTTGCAAGACTCCATTTTAGCTGAACAGAAGGCATTGCAAGGGGAAATCTAAATAAAGAGTTTCGAGTTGTTCTGTGCCGTGGATTTGTGCCCCATTAGTGACTGAGGGTTAGCGGTGTGGGATTTACTGCAGTGCTTGTGGCACAAGGCAATCTGTATCCCAGAGCTAAAAGCTTAAGAACTGCAGGCACTCGGGGGACACCAACCTTAATCCCAGTTTATTAGCAACAAGAAAAAAAAGTACACGCTGTTAAAAATAAAAAATTAAGCACAGCCCCAAATGGGCTGTTTTTCTGCCTGTAAGCTTAGTCTTTGTCGGGTTGCTCTCCATCCAAGCCACCGTGCAGCCTGACTGCTCTCCAGGGCCTTCTGTGTCCCACCCTGGCAGGGTGACCAGTCT